TTGTTAGGTGGGAAGGATTAACTTTTCTAAAAAGACCTAGTAAAGAAAACAAATAGGCTCTGGCTCTAAGATATCCAAATCGTTCCAACAGCCATGCATCTTAGCGTTAGAGCGGACAATAGCGACAGACTGAATGGCTCCCAAGCTATCTCTCAAGGAAACAAATCCCTCACAGTAATTTCTGACTACCAGGAACCAATACAAATTAATATTAAATGACCCTCTTCACAGGTTGGTCACAATGCTTATCGCTGCTATCGTCTGAAGCAATTACAACGACAGAAGAAGGGACCGTAGATGGTGGTCGTTCTGTTTCTAGTCGATCGACATGCAGGCGAACCAACTCCTCGTAGATCCCAATTACCCTATAATAAAAGTAGAAAACTTGAATAGAGATTACAAGCTCAGCCACAGCTTCTCAACGGGTAATAAGAATTGTATACGCAGTGTGACAAGAAAAATCATTTCGTCATGAATTTGAAAATCAATGAACTAACCGGTGAGTGACTATAGCCATGTCACCGAAACTTTCTGAGAGTTTTACCAACGTTGAAAAGCAGTAGATCAAATATAGATTAAAAAAGGCATTCTGAAAAATTATATATTTCTAAAATGCAGACAGTATTCAACCGCAACGAGGAACAAGATACATCAGTTTGTTCATTAAAGAGCTAAGCGTATAAATTAGTTAATTAAACGATTATCAAGTCTTCTGACAGAAAAATTAAAGAAAATATCCATTAGTATTTGAAAGTAATAAGGGGAGGTTAAAAATCAATAAGCAAATGATGACCCGACTGATCACGCTCGGCAAATCAGCAGTTTCGTAAGAATTCGTGACGAATATTGGGATAGCAATGAGGAAATAACTCAAAGTGGATCCGAAGTAATCAAAGAAGTTTGTAGCCACTGAAATTAGAATAAAGCACATATTAGTAGACTGCCTTAGACAAGCTTATCTTGCCTGACTTGAATTCAAGAAACCTCACTTATCACTAATTTTGAAATAACATTTTCAAAAACAGAAAATGCTGACATGCAAGACCAAGTCTCCAATCAACGAGTTTCTTTTGCACTTGTATTAATGCGTTCAACTTTTTATTCATCATGACGTTTTCGAAAAGACCTGATTGGTAAAACGCAATCGACTCCGTATTTGCACGAACTTCTTGATGTCTCAACCTTTAAACAAAGGAAGAATCATCAGCTAATCAGTGTAGTATTATACCTTTTATTATGTAACTTTATTTTACCTGAATCCCCCTTCTTTCCTCTCCTGTTCATTTACAAGCGGCACAATGGGAGAAAGCAATAGTTTGTTAACTAGTGTTGCCAAAATAAAGTAACAATAAATTGCAAAAGGCCCAAGCAACCCAGTACTGTAAAAAATGTCAGTAATAACAAATAGTTTTACTATCATAGCTTTAAAAGAAGAAAATCTAACAGCGGATAAAAATATATTACTAGTATGAAAAACGAAGAAACTAACAAACCTCTCATACGTAAGGTAAGTGTAATAAATAAGTATAAACGGTGCCATCAGAATCGGAGCAAAGAGATCCTGTGTTAAAATTCTAGCCATTTTTTCTACGTCCTGAGTCATTCTTTGATCACTAAACAACAAATTTCAAAGTCATACAGATTAAAGAGAAATTACACATACCTATACAAAAATCAACCTCTTGTAAAAAACCAAAAGAAAAAAAATATACCAACTGACTTCTTTACATGCTGTAGCTTAGTTTTATGAAAAATTATATAAATGCAAACAAAAAAATCTAAACCATGAAAGGTATTAGGAAAGACTGCTTACTACATGTGACCAAACGTCAACAAGGAACAGAAAAAAACTGATAGAAACCTCTCAAAAGAGCGTTAAATTACAGTATAAAAATACACATTTTATGAGGTTCATACCAAGCTGCGAATATCAGGAAAATAACTTACGGATTATCAAATTCTTCACCAAGCACATTCAAGCGATAATATGCATGGCGTTTGAAATAAAGTCGGTGTAATGTATAACCCAATGTTTCGCGAAACTTCAAAAACAAACTAGACGTAGCATACTTAAAAGCTGACAGAGACTGAAAAACACTAATAAGTATATTCATAAAAGATTAACGGAAGAAGACTACCACAAATCACGCAACTGAGCAGTATAAGAAACGCATCAATAAACTAAACTCTTACCGAAGATTTCGCTATAATGCACAAGATAGCTTGAACAGCAAGTGAACGGAAACCCCCACTGTTCCTTTTCCCAAGGACATCATAAAACTTGCTCGGCAATATACCAATATAAAATGTAGTAACTTGGTCTGAAACCATAATTACTACTTTTTACTGTTACAGGAAAACAGCAACTACAAGTGGATCATAATAAGTAAAAAGAATTTTACACAAAAAACAATTTTCCGCTTCGCCCAACTTAGAACTCTACTCAACAAATCTTTGCTAATCAACAAAACAGACAATTTGAAAGCAAAATGAATGTTTCTTCAAAGTCATGAAAACTGTCCGAACTTCAGAAATGAAAACATCGGAAACCCACCAACTGCTGCCACTACAACCACAAAAGCTGCCAAAAAAATTGTTGACTTCAGTGAAGAATGACGACGATTAAAAGGGAATAAGATCTTCATCAAGACCCACAAGCGCCGAAAGAAAAGGAAATCCACGGTCAATTTCGCCATCTTTGAAAGGCCTTTAGCAGCCCAACAAAGACAGTCACTAAGGAAAAACCTAAAAACGTTTATTCATTCCCAGTTTACACATGCAAGAAATTAGGGGCGGAATTACAAGTTTCAACATCAAATTCTGAGATTGCTCGATCTCCAATATCTAACGTTTAATATTTCGTAAACTAATTATTCCTTTACGTCATGATTTGCACTAAAAAACAGCAGGAGCACCAACAAAATAATATGAGCTCAAATCACAATATAAATACTGAAACTGTAGATAATTTTCAATTTGGTTACTCAGACCTCGAAATGAGGATGAATTCAAAATTGTGGAAAAAATACACACCACGCAACGCCTCAGCTCGTTTGTCTTAATATGGTCCTACGTGTGAAGAAACCATCAAAACCTCTGAATAAATAGCACAGTGCACAAACACAATCAGAAAACTTCCACATCCGCACATCTAACACTTTTAACTTTCTTCCATGATAAGGCGTTACAGACCTCAAAAATCATATGACAGCAATTGCTTAACAAAATAGCACCTCGACAACCACAACTAGAAATTAACAAGACTGAAATGGCAAATACTGAAAGGCAAACCCAACGAATGCCATTAAAAATCGGTAGCATTAAGTGGACACAAAGCATGGCCTGACATTGAGATGTGCCGCAGATAATGAAGGAAAATCTCTAAACGTATATGGCTACTTGCCAAAAAACAAAGAATCTTCTCAAAATCTTTTTTGATTGGGCGTCTCTTTCAAAGATATTCATTTAGCTTCCAGACAATGATGCACGTCTCCTTTTAGTTACTGAAAACATGATGTTCCTTCTTCCTATAACCCTCTTTCATAACGCGTAGAGTAATGTCTGGGCAGTCGTACACAACAGATAATATATCTGCAGGGACTGGTAGCATAATAAAAGAAGTAATTTTTGTAAGTTTTTTGCGCAGGCAGAGACACTACCAGTTAGTATTTCATAAAGACCATCCTCTACCTGAGAAGGTACTTAAGTGTTCTGGCTGCTACCTCATAATGTCTAGAACCCGTCTTTTACTGCCCATTGTCTTTTTTTCCGCTTTTTTTATTTTAATAGCTTTCTGGAATATCACAAAGAAGCTTTATTACCAGCTACGAAACCAAACTCTCAAAAGCGGTTTGGACTAATCCTCTGACAATGGTTATATAATGGAACATGCGTTTCCCATAGTACTTTCCACTTGAGATGACGTGAATGAGTAGGAAAGGTTAAGGTGAAGCAATGCTGCAATCATTAATGTATCATTTTTAGGTATCATCGATCGCCTAATTGCGCATAGTATCCTTGGAGGGTAAACTGTTGCAACGAACGAAGGAGGTAAAAGAAAAAGAGAACCAGTGATCGTTGAATATCATGTGCTCCGACCGGATGTGCTTATCAATAACAGAGGGATGCAGCTATTAGTAGGCAGACGTCAGTCTGAGGTGGTTTTATGCAAGTTGATCATTGGTATTTTAAAAAGATTTGGTCATTGTAAGTGCATTCTCTCAGCGTGAGCACCGGCTCAGCTCTTCTTTGTTTTTAATTTGAGAAATAAATTAAGTGATAGCCTCTAGTAATGAATCTTCTCTTTCTGTATACCATAAAATTTTTGTTTATTCCAGCTACGTATTTTGAAAGTTATGTTCAAAAATTTGGCAACGGAAAGCTTACTGAAATTCGTGGTTTCGTCTTAGATTATATTGAAGAATTTATCAAAAGTGTTATGGATTCAGAAGGCGTGTAACAACAACTGAATGTTAGATTTAACTAGTTAAATTTGACTGGTGGTTTCTCAGCTTTAACTTTCAACCGTTCGAAAATGCAGTTGGTTTTCACACTGATTCACTGGTGCTATGGCCCTCTGTCCTATACAGCTATAGCAATTTTTAAGCAGTTTACAAATCTTTTGACTTTAAGATTTTAGCACTAACGCCTATACAATTCCCATTGTATTCATGCCATTAAGTATGAACTA